AAAAAAAAAAAAAATCCCAAATATATATTTTTGTTTAGGTCTCAATAATAAAAAATAGGATTTAAAATAACAATAATTGAAAATTGATTCTGAATCAATAATATATAGACATGCTTGTGTTTTTCCTCAGAATTTCAACTGAGGTTAAATAATAAACTTGAATAATAAAATTGTAGAAATGTCACATATATGATGAGGCAATATATTTATTTGTGAATCTAGTGCATCTCGAATATATTGTACTAGACTGTAATCATTTAAATATGGCTTTAAAAAGAGAAATTGTATTTGTTTTGTTTCTGTGGAGTCAGTCAAAAAAAAAAAATCCAAATTAAAGCAGAAAAAGATGCATCCAGAGATATTTAATCAAATCTTTCTAAATCACAAACTCTAGATAATTAAAATAAGTCAGTAACAGGAATAGGATATTATTTTAAGTCTCAATACTTTTAGCTTAGTTACTGAATTCACTGTACTCGTGGGACTGGGGCAGTCAAAACATAACAAGCTACACTGGTAACACAATTAAATATCACCATAAATTAGTAGAAAAATCGTCGTTTTGTTTATAAATAGTCCATTTCTGAGGTTTCCAAATGTTTTGTGACGTAATCCAAAATTATTTTTTCGTTTCCAGAGTCCTTCAGGTAGAAATGAGATCCGTGGAACATCTTTATGGTGAAATCTCCTGATGTGATGTCTTTCCAAGCTGTTAATAAAAACACACACACACATTAATTTCACTTGATCACCTGTAAATCTTTCACGTACTCAGTCACACATTCTTGCTGCCTCTGGTTCAGATCCCGTGCTCTCTAATAAGAAACAGTTAGCATTAGTTAACACTGCCAAGCAAAAGATTTACTCATCCCGAAGGCCGCAGACATCCCTGGACCAGGTGATGCCATAAACCAGGTAGATCATCATTTACTAACCAAAGCTAACTCCACCTGACATTTTTTAAAGGTGGTTTTCACCACATAAGAAACATCCTGACAAACGCCACCCACTCACTGTGAAACGGGGCTTTTGGTGTGTACATTTTAATTTGATTATTAACTTGTGTCTAATTATGCAATTATTAATGCATTTATTTAAATTTCTTTACTACTCTGCTTGAGCGCTTTGTGCTACAAGGCTCATTCACCCATTCATACATACAAGAAGTTGTTTCTATGGCTGAGTGCTTTTGATCTAAATTTCACACTCCGATGAACAAACTGCAAGATACTGAAGTCAGAGTTCAGTAGAAGGAGACGGATTGTTAGGGTTACTTATACACTGCTCTGCTGAGGGCAAAACAAAGAAGGGAGAAGCACAAAGTAGCAATTTGCATTTAAGTCAATGTAATAACCATAAGAGTAATGTACAGCCCCTTCTGGACACCCTTGGCCTGTTAGAGCACTGACCTTGTAAATCATGAGGAATGTCATCCTTCCCGTCAAAACACGTGACCGGGCAGGAGAAAAGCGGGCTGCTCGCCTTGTTACATCTGCAGACAGGTCAGCAACTCCCATCACTGACAACATCTACGCTTGGTTTTAGAAATGTTAAGAGCAGATTAAGTAACAGACAGCTGTCCGCCCACCTGTAGTTCTCCACCACGTGCAGGTCAGCCTTCAGGGCGGGAAGGAAGAGCTTGAGGACTTCAGGGTTCGCCAGCAGCTCAGGAGGAGTTCCTCCAATCGAAATTAACCACTTAAGAAAATCTTCATCAGACAAGTCGCTTCTCTTTGGGGTTTTAATGCGAGTCTCTGACTTAAAGACAAAGAACAACACAGTACAGTGCTGTTGTCGTGTCGTATCAACAACACCCAACTCTTTTCTTACGTTAAAGAGGCCAAATTACGAACGTTTAGCTTTTCCAAATGTTATCGCTGATGTTTATTGAATATGAACATCAGGATTCATAGATCAGGTCTTTCATGGCAGTTATGTGTGTACAGATTAAGTCTAATTAATTTAAATGGATTTTAAAATACGTGATTAGCTTACAGTGAATATAGTTTCAATGAAAGATTATGTGGCAGCAGCACAGAAATGTAGAATAAAGCATGAAGTGGTGACATAACAGCACAGAGAGGATTTTCACGTTTGTCACTGCATCACTTATTACTAGATCTGAAGTCCACAGCCCCAAAAAACAGGTTTAAGTTGGTCTTTTTTTGCTTCGTGGAACTAATAAATATCACAAGCAATAAAAGAAAAAATACTTAAAAAGCATACTTCCAAGCAAAAAAAGACTTAAGTAATAAGTAGTTTTCCAGGTCATCCAGTAGTTTTACTTACATAAGGTGCAGAAGCACCAGACAGAAAGATGTGAACTGGCTCCATGTTGTGAATTTTCTTCAGCGCGTCTGCAACAGCGAAGCTTGTGAAGGCACCGAAACTGAAACAGATTAGAATTTTTTTTTATGTTGCAGGGATTAAAACCATGCAGGGTTCTGTTTATGACGACAGCTAGAGCTGGGCGATGTATCGAGTTTTTAAAAAATGTCGATATATTTTTATACGAGATATAAGATGTGACAATATC